AGTTTATGACACATCCAGCAGAGAACAGGAGGTGTCAGCATCACACTGCAGTGTTTGATGTCTTTAATGATGCTGGAGCTCAGGGGTGCTCAACTTTGGCGGCCGGGAGGGCCACATTTAAAACCACAACAGAGGCAAAGGGCCACAAACTATTGTTAGCATATATTTGTAGCATTTTATTCACTGTATTTACTACTGCTGTTTAATATGCTGTCTTGCTAATCGTTTTTAATGTATTCCAAAGCATCATAGAATATTTAACAAGCGTTCTCACTTTGAGTAACACATGTAGTGTAGTGACTGTGTTTCCAAGGAGGTCAAGTGTCGATCAAGCTTACGTTCCAGTTGCACTGCAGTGACTGGCTTTACAGTGATTACATTCATCAAGTTTGTAGAACATCCTTGAACTTGGAACAAAATATGAACAACAATCACAACTGCTTCTTCTTCCTAGTGAGAGCTTTGAGTCTGCGTTCTTCTCACAAGTACTTTCAGATCTGGCTGTTGCTCAGTTGTATCTGCCAAATGTCTGTCAGTTAGACAGGAACGCTGCTTTGACTTTAGCATTACCGTGACAGAGCAGGAGCTTTCACACACAGAAGTAGATCCAAAGCAGGTCAGGATTTTCTGAGCACAAAGGGTTAATGCAGGTTACGTGTTCTTCAGAACACGGGATATCCAGAATGTGTCAGTGCTCTCCTCCTCTTTGTGTCTTTGTTTGAGGGTGTTGTTGTGCTGCAGCTCTAGGAGCTGCTCCTCAAACAGCCCTTTCCACTCCAGATTGCTCCGGTGTACCAGAGACTGAAGTAGTCTGTACATCACAAGCAAATGGATTCTCTGTGAATGCCAGCATGGGTTTGAAGGACTTAATGTCAATGAATCGTGAGGAAAACTCCTCTTTTAATTCTGTGAGGTCGGCCCGGTACGGGGCGGGTCAAAATGAACCTGACTGTGACACTCGGGGCTGTAGAACAGGAGAGTGTGTGACATTTCCTACCTCAAGCTGCTGCTCAGACAGGCTCAGTTTAGATTCAAATGCAGCCACATCATTCATCATTGTCGGCAGAACCTTTTGTTTCCCTCGAAGCTTAATGTGGTGGGAAACACTGCAGCTGCAGGTGAGTGCAGCCCTGGCCTGCCTCACCTGCTGGCCAATCATCTAATCAGAGCAGGATATTGAAGTCAGGCTGTTGAACAGCTTTGCCGTAACTCCTCCAGCATGGCAGCATTTCTCTTCTCATCATCAGGAAATGTCCTTTAAACTCACCAACACGTCTCTGGTTGCTCGTTTGTTTCATGAAACGCAGTGAAGCGTTCAACTGAACTGTGATTATGGAGATAAAATAGTGAGAATAATGAGAGCAGAAGAAAAGCCNTGCAATTTTACCCCAAAAATAACCAACAAAGTCATTTTATCCCCCACATGCTCAAGCTGACATGTCAGATTCTGATCCAGCTCGAAGGTCATCTGATAGAAGCCACCTTGTTCTAAGTATCTCCTCTGTGTATCGGCCTCTCTCTCTCCTCCAGTTACAGCCCTGGAGGCTGAGGCCGGACCTCAACTATTCAAACACCCCGAATCCCCCCACCTGTGACACAATGGTCCCTCTCTGCTCAACACCGTCAGATTAGGAAACGTCCAAATGGTCGCTCATATGTTCTGCTGTAGATAAGAGTCGGCAGAGTTCAGGTTACTCTGTGATTAACACTATATCCTTCCTGATAACCCCAAACCATGTAGCCCATACCACAATGGCCCGGGGACCTTTTTTATTTACTCATTTCCATCTGGGAGCGTTAACCTATGTGAAGATATGCACTCTGGGTCACTTCAGCTAGCTGTTGACATGTTTATCCAGTTACATTTAGTACTATTAGCATGCAACTGATAACTGCCTTCACTTTTTGCTTGTTATAAACTGAAATAATTATCTTATCTCTTATAGATTCTGTTCAATTTTAGGTTGCAGTTAATGCAAATTGTGAACCTTTCCATACTTTTCATTCAAAGATATTAGACATTGAAAAGGCCATACTTGTAAGATTTCTGCTTCTTTTTGGCTAATAACTGCAACATAGCAAGATTTTGATCATTTTCTTTAGACAAAAACAATAAAATCAATAAACCTTGCTCAGTTAAGTTTCCCAAGTTGTCCTATAAAACAATGCGGAGTAGAGATGTGATGTAAAATGTCATATACTGTCCTAGAAGGTCAACCACTAGTTGGCATTAACACTATCTAGTATTTCCGATATTGTAGCATTCTTTAAATGTGATCAACAATATGCCAATTGTTGGATGCCTCCACATCCTCCAGTTTCCTCACTCTCTCCGCTCTTTGTCCGTCCACACATGAGCAGTCAGAGCCCACCCTGAGGCAGCCCGACACTCGTCCTGAGTCATTAAAACATCACCTCAGTCTTAATTACAGCCTCTGTCAGTGAGTTTCCCCGGGCCCGCTTTGTTCTTTGATCAGGGAGCCGACGGGCCACTGCTCACGTTGACCAGGGCTAAAGGAGCGAAACGGCAAACCTCTGCTCACCTAGAGGAAATGAAAACTTGTTTGCTGCTGGTCACACGGCCTGCTAGAGAAGATGGATGGTCGGAAGGCTGCCTGTAGGGTTAGGAAGTGGCCTTGTAGGTGTATGTATACATGTGAATGTGTGCTTTGAAGCAAAGAGGTCAGCGTTTATCGTGTGCCCTCGCTGCCCTCGGGTCTGATTAGCCTGACCTGTGGTACTTAGCGAGTGCTCACCGTGTCCACCTCAGCATCACCGCAACTCTAGCTTCATGGAGAACTGCCCGTTGCCCTCATTAAATTCAGCTGAGGTTCTAACATTAACCAAAACATCCTGGGTGTTAAGAATATAAATATCTCTCCATCCCATCACGTGCGTATTGTTTTATACTTGGCTCAATTTGCCATGTTTGCATTTTAAAGAGAGGGACACGACTTGAAACGTGGTGATTTAAGCATCATTTCCAAACCGCTGCGCCAAAGATGTTTTTACCATCCTCTTCTGTTCAACTCTCCTTTCTCCTCCTCCTCCTCCTCCTCCTCCCCTCCCGTCTCCCTTCTGCCACCTCCACGTCTTTTGGCCCCTCCGGCTTTGATTGAAAACCAATGAGGCAACTAATAAGTGGAAAGATAGAAATTTACTTGCTTTAAGTTCATGCGTCAGCCTCCTTCTTTGCTGTATGGGCCACGTTTAGCACAACAATATCGCAGAAGCAAAGACTGCCAAAGGAGCTGCTCTGTGCTACATGATGGTGCGCTTCACGCCCCATTTCCCACCAATACGCCCTGGCCCCCCCGCCTTCTCTATCTCTACCTTTTCCTCTCTTTCAGGGCCACGGCTTTGGGACAGGTCCACCTGCAGGGGGTTTGAATTGAAATGCATTGATCTCTCGCTCACTGGAAACAACCTTATTCCCTTACATTTCCCTTTTTCCCCCCTTTGTGTCCAGTAGCCAATAACTTTGAGCTTCCATTGTTGCAGCATGCATGCGTTACCAATTTATTTTTTAAAATAAATGTTTAAAAAGTGTCTTTAATCAACAATTGGGGCCTTTTCTTTAAGCCACAGCACGCTCAATGCTCATACAGGGAGCAAAATGATTATTTTAAGCTCAGAAAGTTAGCTTAATTTCAATCTAATCTGTAAAAATAAAAACTATAAAGGCAAGTAGTTTTATAGTTTTCCTGGAAGTTCACAACCTGCCACCTATAAATATTGTTTCAGCTAATGGCTCTTATGTTCTGCACTCTGTTTTTATTTGAAGGTTGAAAAGACAGCCAAAAAATTCATTCCGTCTTCTCCCCCCCCCCCCTCCAACCTCAAAGAGTAAGCATCAAAAGGCTTTTTAGGGTAGTCATTTTGTCCCTCTCCTGTTCGCTCTCATTTGGCATCTTTCAGGGCACTGAGGCAGAAAATAAAGGAGAGGGAGTCGGGCGCCTTCCCAGTCAATTTTGGTGTTTAGTTAAAAGGAAGGAAAGTGATTGCGCTGCTCGTTTTCTCCTCACTGACAGGCGGCAAGCGGATGCCGATTAGTTATTGTATGATGATTTAGAGTCTGGTAAAGCTTTCCATTTAAATGCACCCAGTAGTTATTTTGCATAGTCCCCCTGCAATTTGCCTCAGCTCAGGAGACATTGGCCATCGTCTTGGCCTAATGCTGTGTAATTGTTGGAGGGGCACATCGCTGGGCGGACACGTCAGGACTGCCACGCTCTTTTAGGTCCCCAACCATGACTTACTGAAATCGCTCCCGGCTCCCGCCAACTGGAAAAAAACGACAAATGTCTGTCACTCAGGACAACTTTAGCGAATTTAGGGTGTGGACTCGAAAGCTTTGTTGTGCGATGCCCATTTAGGAAAATTCTTCATTTGAAAATAAATCAGAAGGGAAACGTCAGTCAGAAAATCAAAGCTGGAAAACTGGAAAATAAGAATCCAGCCAGAGAAGCGCAGACACTTGATGGAGTCGGCCGATGTGAGATTTTCACAGACAGGCAGAATATTATTGAGGACTTACTGTTGCTCAAATAGGTTCTGTCTTGGTATCTTAGGTGTTTTTTTGTTTTTTTTTTGACTTGTCAAGTGTTCACCATTCTCCGGGATGTGAGTCATTTCTTTCTTTTGCCCTTTTCCTCTCTTTCTCACTGCGTCCTGCTTTTCGCCGCCTTCCCCTGCGGTGAAGGGCCACACGGAGAAAATGAAACCAAATAGAGGAGAAAAATGGAACATTGATTTTTTTTCTTTTCTTTTTTTTGTCTTCACTCAACTCCTGATGTTGTTTTCAGGTTTCTTTCTTTTTCACGCATCATTCTCTCCGTTCTTCTGCCAGCCACGTCTGGAGCTGTCCGTTATCACCTCACACAATAGTCCCCACTTTTCCTTTCTTTGATGAGGTCTCAGAAGGTCGTAGTTATTCATGGAGGGGGAATAAAGTGTTCAAAATAGCGACAGTGAGTGTGTGATTTTTGTGTGTCTTGCAGAGCCATGCCCCTGCTGACCTGTACCTGATGACCAAGAATCCAGAAGATTCTCCCAACGAACCGGACGTGCTGGAGATAGAGTTCAAAAACGGTTCGTGTGCCGTGTAGCGTCATGTGTTGCTTCCTGATTCCTTTCTGATTCAGTGTTTGTCTTTAAGCTCACAACTTCTAAAGCCTAATGATTGATATAGATGTAAAAACATGTAAGTTATCAAAAAATTTTTAAAATACTTGCCATGTAGTTTTAGAATTGACATTCATTTGACGTTACACATTAGATTTTTTTTTTTTTAATCTGTCAAATTTCATTATGTGCACATGATATACAACAGATTCAATAATCAGCAATTCATTTCCACTTGAAATGTGAATTATTTGAAATGGATTTTGTTGAAATTTGTAAATCTTTTGCATTTAAGCTTCAATCATGTCAAGATATATATACGTTTTTTTATTTTTTGCTTTGATTCATAAATCCTAGTGTAGATCAGTAGGAAATGTGAGAAAAAAGAGCAAAGGAATGACAGGTTTAGTTGACCAGGAATCGATATGAGGCCTCACTGCTGATGACATTTATACCTTTGTTGTTGTTGTTGTATTCAGCTGTTTGGTCGCCTCCAACTTGTCTCAAGATTTTAGGGCTTAAACAGAAATTTCATTCATCAAATTGCATTTTGTTGCATATACACTCATGTGATATCAGTTCTGAGCTTGTATAATTCATCAGTGAGTGTTGTTGTCCATCTTTACTCACTGCCCACTCCAGTCCTTCCTATTACTTAACAGTGAGGGTTATAGCCGCAGGGCTACAGCTCTGAGGCTGACCCGGCTGCACTTTATCACCGCTTCTGACCACCCAGATTTATCCTAAACCCCATCACAGCATTACTTGGTCCAAAGCTGCCATGTTTGGCCCGGGGGCAAACGCACAGGCCGGAAGCATTAACTCCAGCTAATACACCGAGCCCCGAGGGGCCAGAGGAACGCTCATTAGATATATTGCCACGATGGCCAGACTGAATAGTAGAAAGTGTCACATGTTTGTGCAAAGAGAAAATGGCAAGAAACATCCAGGCCTGAGGCAAATGGCACAGATGTCCCTTCAGAACCGGTCACTGGTGGAGGCTCAAGTACAAGAACATCAATCAGATCAGAGACACTGGATTCTCTGAGCTTTATGGGCTGTAAATGTAATTTAAGGGGAGTTCAGAAGACTTGGTGGGAATACTTGCAGTCACTAAAGATGCCAAAAGTGCTTTTTTTTTTAAAAAGTGCAAATTAAAATGGCATTTACTCGTCAGTAAAGATGTGCAACAAAACAGATCTCACTTTACCAGTTTCCCAAAGAAATGTTTAACTGTGAAACAAGTTGGTTGGTGTCAGGGGATGAGATGTGCTTTTGTAAAAACAGTGATGCACTAGTAAAGCCCAGTCTGGTTTCGCGGGTTCTTTGCGGCCCTGCGCTCCATTTTCACACATATTCTCAGTGCCTTTATTGAGCGCCCTATGACAAAAGCTGTTTTAGTTGTCCACACAAAGGCCCAAGCCTACTCCTCCCTCTGAGCACAAGATCAGCACAAGAATGTTTCATTTCATTCCCCCTCCCACCTTTTCATCCCTGCCTTTCTCACCAAAGTTTTCTCACTGATTAAAAAAGAATATTTAACGACAGGAACCTTTTCCCCCGTCAAACGCTCCATTCCCCATTCCTCTCCCTTTTTCTTTTTTTTTTTTTTTTAAGGAAAAAAAAAAAAAATCATCCCTCCCTCCTTTCATGCCAAAGAAGTGAGGAGGAAAAAGAGACAGAGAGGAAAAATGTAAAGCAGTAATTTTTCCTACAACTGTGTCTGCGCTCCCATTGTCTGCACTGTTAGGGTGCAAAAAACTGAAGAAAAGGATCATGAGTAGAAAAAGAGCCCTTTAGTGAATGATGGAACCCGCAACACGGAGAGAGCGAGGAGAAAGAGAGCGCAGGGACGAAAGGCCAGCCCCTACACTCCCACGTTCAGACACTCAGTTAATTTATTTGAACTTTTAATCTAATTATTAGATATCTGGGAGGGGGCGCGGTTTTAAGAATGCACCATCCATACTGCCCTCTCCTGCTCTGGGAGGTACTTTTTTTTTTTTCCATGGGAGCCGCCGTGATTCCCGCGATATGAGAATGGAGCGTCAACAAAGCCCTTGTCTAAAAAAATTTGTCAAGTCCCTCACATGTCATTCCTATTAAGGCTTTGTAAATGCTGGCTGAAAGGCGACCAGAAGTGCTGCTCTTCTCTTCAAAGCTGCTTGACTGACAACTGCAAGCATGCTTAAGTGTGTGTAGAGCTCGACACTGGAGGGGACGGAGAGTGCAGCAGATTTCTTCTCATTTCCTTCTTGTGTAGTCTTTTAGAAAGGTTATATTCCCTTCTCGCTCGCGCTCCTTTTCACCCGTGTCTCTGTTTGTTTCCTCGCCTCCACCTTTGGCCCGTGTTCCTCATTGAAGGCCATGAATAAGCAGGTCTGTGACAGTGATTGATGTGCACTTGGTTTAAGTGGCTCGGCGGAGGAAGCGTGCGGAGCGAGCGTGGGTGTCTTTTTAAAGAGAAATTCTCCGTATGTTAAAGATAGACGGTAGGAAGCCGGGCGGTGATGGATCTGCAGGTGGTTTTGTCTCCTGCACATGCGCATGAACACACAAGCACTGAGTGGCGCAACAAAAAAAAAAAAAGAAATCTAAGCGTTAAAGAGAGTTTGGGTAACAAAGCTGCGTGTGTAATTGAATTAGGTAAAGGCCTGCCCACGATTTCACAGCTTTCAAATCAGCAGAGCCTTTGAATTTATTAGCCCTTCTCACCATCTCCTTTTGTGGAGGTTTTCACTTTTAGTTGACGACTATTGATTTGACTGACTAAGATAATGAGCGCTTGTCAGCAGATTTGATCAACTCTTTGCTGTTTTTGTCGCCAGTTCAATCAGTTGAAATGAATCTTTTTGTTAGTTTTTGTAGTTGTTTGTTGTTATTGATTAACTAGGCCGCACAAAAATTACATTCTTATAGTGTTTGTTTTGTGTGCTATGTGTTGATTATTTCTCTGATCTTGGTAAAAATCACCCGTCACTTTTCGCTGTAATAGGTTTTAGGACAAGTAGAGAAGATGAAGAGTGATTGAATTCACTTCATTTGCTTTCGGCTTTCCTCATGAAATGAAATGAATGAAATGAAAAATACTTTATTCATCCCAGAAGGGAAATTCAAATGTTGTTGTAAAAATTATTTTAGTTAATTTCAAAAATGGTTAGCATGCCTCTCTTGTGAAAAGAGAATGTTGCTGTTTAGTTTTTTGAATCTCAAACATAAAAATGCAAAGTAGATTGTGACGTTGCTTTATTTTATTGCAATTAGATTTTACCAAATACATTATAAGTCATATGAATTACCACTTATTGTGTTATAATGTTGGTGGACATGGATTTATTAATCAGCACTTTATTCCTTTAGGAGTGCCTGTGAAGGTGATCAATGTGAAGGAAGGCAAATCCAAAGACTCTGCACTGGATATCTTCTCATACCTCAATGAGATTGGGTAAGCATTTTTCTCTTTATTTCAAAAAAAGGCACCTTACACATGTGTCTTGTTAGATGTGATAAATCCAGTGAAAGTAAGTCTTTCTATCAGAATCAGTGTGTAAGTGTCCCCAGAGGTAGAGCAGTGGTTAAGTTCACCACCTCTGGAATGATGAGTGTTTGTCGCTGTTGGCCAGGGATCGCATACCGCCAGTTTTTTACTCCTGTGTCGTCCTCCACTCTTGCTTCCCTCTCTGCTTTCCAACTGTCAAAATAAATGAAAAGTCCTAAAGGTGAACCTGCCGATACCACAGAAGAATCTATTTTCCTCGACCGCTTTTTAGTTTTGAGCATGATGTTGAGCATTTTGTTTCAGTCAGTGCTGCTTCTTTACAACATGCGTAATTTGTCGTGAAATGACACAAACTATGCATTGAGTAAATTGTTAGGGAAATCTGAAACCGTTTTTCTGCTTTTCTTTTCCAATAAAGGGAAAATAAATAATGAAAGAGCTTGTTTGTTGGAGATTCTACAGAAAACTTTATTAATGAAAAGTATTCGTCACTATTTGGGTATTTTAATATTGTTTTGTGTGTAATAAATTCACTCCCAGCCAGTCTTATTGTGCAGCAAAACTATGCTAATCACAGTGATGCATGAAAACAACCGCACAGCAGATGGAAAGAGGCTTCTCTAGGAAATTTAATTTGTCGTCTGAATGGTGCATCGCAGCACACACTTGAAAATCTGTAACCAGAGCTACATCATGTGTGTTTCTGTTTATCTTGTACAATATTTGAAATAAACTACAAAACACTGATGCATACATCTAGATAAAGGTATGGTTGATCTGCCTTAATCCAAGTTTTTTCAGCTTCATTTCGACTGTATCTCACTTCATAAGCGGTCACATCACACAATGAAATATGTCACGGCGGCTTTCGCACTCTAATGCATTTGAAGAATAAAGTGTTTTGCTATAAAGGAGGCGTTGACACACACACAGGATTGACACCAGGTCAGAATTAAGCATCAGTTTGATGCGTGTAGCATTAAATGGGGTACCTTTACAGCAGCCTGCTGTCATGTACGTGTCATTTATTAAGGTAAACACGGTGAAATATCCTGTGTAATGGCACTGCGCTCTATTCTCAGGAAAGGCTGCAGATTTATGAACATATGTCAACATCAACGACTGCCTTGAGCAGGCTGCAGGGCTTTTATGAACTAAAGGAGAAGCTTTTTATGCAGAATGAAGTAACCGCGAGCAGCAGGTTCTGTAAGAATCATTTATAGTGATTTGTACATCAGTGCAATCTGACACTGCTGGCATTTTGATATGAGCACAATAGAGGTACATGTTTATGCTGATTTAGTCACATCTATTTAATGTATGTATATCTAAAATAGTTTCTTTACATTTTAAGCATTATCCTATTGTCACCTGAGTAACAGCAGAGTAACATTGTCCAAGAAACAGATGAGGTTCCTGGACATCTATTCAAAGTCTAACAAACATTTTCCACCAACAAGTCGCTTTGTGCTGCCTCATTTAAATGAACTCTCACCTGTCCGTCCCTCCCCTCCCACCTGTGTGCTGAGCGTTCCTCGCTGGGCACCAAAATACCACACAGATACGCAGAGTGTATTAGAAAGTCAGGAAATGATCAGACTGCTGGTTGTTGAGCTGCCACAACAATAGAGCTCTTAATGTTGACGCCTCCTGTTGTTGGTTAAACTAATAAAGTGTTAAATTAATGTATAAGCGTGTCCAGTGAACCTGTCTCTGTCTCTTAGAGGAAAGCACGGAGTGGGTCGGATTGACATCGTAGAGAACCGTTTCATCGGCATGAAGTCCCGAGGTAAAGTTGAAAATTGTTGTTTGTTTCGTCTGTCTTGGTTGTGACATTTTCCCCATTTGTGCCGAATTAGCGTGACAGGTTTCCTCACTTACTCAAACAAACATATACACTGTAAATGCAGTGAGATGGATATGTTTGCACTTGCACTGAAATCCCTCTCAATATTTTAATTTTGCATCCGTTCAAAAGCCTTTCAGTAGCCGGGGCTTTCATGCAATTTGCAGTTATTTTACATGAGTGCTTTTTTGTCACACTTGCTATTCTGCTTCCATAAAAGTGGGCTGGATGGCAAATGCGCTCTCCTCAAGAGAAAATGTTTTCCTCTGGTTCACCTGGAATCATAGACACTGAAGTTACTTCCTTTCACTTATGCATGCACACACATACAGAAAACACACACACTGTGAATAAGAAAAAGGTGCACATGCTCCAGTGGATACACACAAATACACAGTCGATCACATATCTGCACACAGGGATGTTTTTTGTCTCTTTATCTTTGGCATCAACAGGCAACTTGAAAAGCTCCTTTGTTAGCGCTCTACATGTGTTGTCGCAGTAAATATACAAAGCCGGTGTGCCGTCCTGGCCTTGTATGACGCACTCACATACACACAAACGCGCCGCTCTTCCCCCACGACACTATGTGCTATGATTGGCAAATTGACTGGCCAGCAGACTGTGGATGTGGCGCAACTTGGCAGGTAGAAATTGGAAAATGGGAAGCCCACTTTTCTCTCCCCTCGGCTGAACAAAAGATCAAAGCTGTTTCCTCCACTGAAGCAATAGGAAGAGGTGGAGCACAAGGTGCCCGAGTGGTTGAATAACTACCATTGAGTGGACATGTTGGTCTCCTCTGGAATGGCAGTCGCGCCAGCACAATAGATGATGGGAGGGATCGAATGGGGGAACATGTCATACTTATTTGTGTTGGGTCATATTTATTTGCGTGGGGTCACGGAGGCGGAGGGGGATTGAAATGGTTTGTCAAGAATGTTGTCACTGTGCTACAAAGCATTCAACAGCTCGTGTTCCCGACAAACATTTCCCACCTGTCACAGCGCTGTCGGGCCTCTGACCTGTGTGCCGGTGATGGCCTCACTGGAGCTGCAGCCTCATCTCTTGATGAACAGGCTGCCTCGTGTCAAACCGCCGCCAAACTCCAAAACAGTGTCACTGGAAATAGTCATCAAACGCATTTGTAATGTATTTACTTGTTTATTTTTGTCAGCTGAAATAATTTACAGAAATGTCGAACTGCAAATTGTCTTAAAATCCACTCGTGTTTTTTTTTTTTTTTTTAAAGTCCATATCAAGGTTTTTATCTGTATTTATTTACATGAGTTGCTTGTTTATTCTGCACCGTTTGCCCATAGGGTTAGAAGGAATCAGCTCAAGAAGAATTAATTCCTGTCCCAAACCCCTGAAGGCCTGCAGCAGGGTTAGCATACCTGCAGTAACTGTGTAAAAGATTAAAACCTCATAAAACCACCGAGGGTTTTGTCTCTTTAAGCTCGGCTAAACTGCCCCTGTTGGAGCTCAACCAGATAGCGTTTCATTGTTTGCGCCACACTGTTAAGCTAGCTCTCTTTTGTAGCACTTAAGCCCAGTTGAGTTGGAGGGCAGTTTTAAGTTATTTATCTGATAGAGCCAACGGAAGTGTCCCTACGTGCCCTCTGTGGCCCGGGATCACCAAAAAGCCACGAGCCATTCGAGCTCAGGTGGAAACCTTTTGAGGCTTTAGACAATTAGCAGCATCACTAAGCTTTGTTTTTGCCCGCCAGCACAAAGTGAATGCTTCTCCTTTTTCAGATCAGGAGGTATTTGAGGTCGCACGGATTTGACTTCTCCTGCTCGCCAGATTGGAAAAGATGAAATAGCATTCATCTGTTAAATCTCAGGAAAGAGTTTTGGAGTCTGAAGCAGACCATACAAACTGTGAGATTTGGCAGTCTGGTGTTGGCTCCAGTGAAATGTCTCTTTGGCAGCTTGGCAGTCTGGCTCGAATCAGAAAAAGGTGCAACTACCATTCAAATTGACAGATGATGTGAGGAACCATGTATTGAATAGGGGAAACAGCACTCACCATTTCTTCAAATTTCAGCTCTCACAAAAACGGTTGTCATTGATAAAGCTCCCTTTTTTTCTATTGTCAGATCTGTCTCGTAGCATTTCCCCCTGCCCTCCTTTTGTTTTAGCTGACATTTAAGTGACAGCTTCATTTCTGCTGTCATCTACCTCATCTTTTCTTCCTTCACCCCTCCCTCCCTGTCCAGAGGGGGTAAATTGCAGGGTAGGCAGAGCCCTGGTCCAGACTCCAGGCTGGCAGGGGCCTCCTACCCTGTCATTTACCCAGGACAGACTCATCCATGTTTTGTGAGCACCGTGAAGGCCTGTCTGTCAGACGGATGATGGCTAATAGAGCTCTTTGCTTGTAGTTAGTTCAAATGAAGCGGGCTTGTAGTTTATACTCCTATGGATTTTGTTCGAAGATGATGATGCTACAGGTTGTAGTAAAAAAAAATATGTATTGGAGAAAATAACGTGTGCGAGCCCCTTTTTTTTTTTTTTTTTGCTATATGTTTTACACGCATTGAAATCTTCAATGTGAAGATCTCAAAAAGGACTGTATAAACTCATGAAACTGACAATATAGATTGCATTCAGGCGGGTAAATGTGTTCGCACCTTCTGTTATCTCCTGTTTAAAATCCTGCTGTTGTGTTAATTCACTTTGTTGATTTCTTTTTGCTGTGTTTGTCAGGGATATATGAAACCCCAGGAGGCACGGTTCTGCTGAAGGCCCATTTAGACATCGAGACCTTCACCATGGACAAAGAGGTGCGGAGGATCAAGCAGGGACTTGGTATCAAGTTCTCCGAACTTGTCTACAATGGTGAGTGCTTGTTACACTTTTTTTTGCTTTAGAGAGATTTAAACGTGTCACATGCGTCCGTACGTTCAGCACGTCTGCATGTGTGCGCGAGCTTTTCTTGGCTCAGGTATCTTAATCCTCCCTTCTGCTCCGTCTCCAGTCCCCTGCACCTTCATCCACATAATAGGATCAGTGCCATTACAGACTGACTACTAGGCCGCTTCAGTTATACCCTCCAGAGACGGGAAGCAAACGCACACACACACATAAAGGTGCTACCTTCAGAAGCAGGGCAGAGATTAAACCCATTGTGGGTTTAAATCATTAATAACTCTGCAGATAGCAGACGGCTGGTAGTGGGGCTTATGTTAACAACCCACCTGTCCTGCATCTGTTTGCTGCACTATTTACCCAAACAATTTTAATATTGGAGAAGTTGCTGCAATTTAGAGCAGCGCAGCACCTGATAGAGCAGGGTTTTGATGAGTAGAAAGTGAACAAGTGACAGGTGGTCCAATGATTTCAAATTCATCAAGAATCAGTTAGAGATCCGAGCACCGACATCTAACAGATTTATGCTTGCTTTTGTGGTTTTACATCATAATAATTGTACATTTTGAAATGATTACGTAAAACAAGCAGTAATTTCAGGACGGCACTCTCAGATCACACGTGTCATTGTTTTTAAAAGGAATGACTAATTTGCATTCATTGATACGGGCAAATCCTGTGATCTTCTCTAATAACCACCATACAGAGAGACTTAAGTGACACGTAGAAGCAACTGACACAAAGATCGAAATAGAATCTAGCTGTGGCCTGTGTGCAATTGTCCCGGCCGTCACCTTGTGTGCCAATTTAGAAGGAGTGAAAGCAAGGGACGGATTGTGTCTTTGAACATGGCCAGACGATGAGGTGGAGGTCAGCCGCTGATGAGAGGAGAACCCCTGCTGAGTGGGGCGTGCCTGACCTCTGAACATATAGACGCATCCCTCGCCCATCTGTCTCGGAGGCTGATGGTCCAGGTCGGCAAAAAGAAAGCGGTGCATGAACTTCACCTGGGATAGGAATTAGACCAAAGCACTGAAAGAGCCATATCTCAGAAAATAGGAACCTATGGGGGAACCTCTTTCTTTGATCAACCCTTTAAACCTTTTTTTTGCCATTGTCCAATTAATACCATTGACAATAATATACAGAGATATAAAGCAAAATACAAACTAACAGCATCTAAAAGTTCAACAAGCAAAAGAACAAGCAGTCCTGAGCCTTGATGCCAGCATCATGGAGACAGTCAGGGAGAACATGAAGAGAAAGAAGCACCTGAGACAGCCAAAATCTGCAGATAAACCATGATGAGTTATTCAAGATGTTTGGAACAACTGACCTCGGTATCATGAGTAACTTTGTGCAGTTGTAAAGATTTAGTGGGGTCACACCTGAAGTAGATTTGATTTAGGGTTTTAACTTTGTATTAAATTAATTGATATATAAAAGCTCTTTGTGAGTTTATTTTTGAAAGCATGCTCACTTTATTTTAATGCCTTAAACATTTAAACAAATCTGTATATAATTACTATGTGGTCAGTAAGAATGTCAACAAGATCATTAGGTTTTGTCTTATCTCTGAGTTAAATAAACTGTAATGAAAATCTTGCTTTTAAACAAACCGTCACAGCCACTCTGTCTGTTGCAGGTTTCTGGTATAGTCCAGAGTGTGATTTTGTGCGACACTGCGTAGCCAAGTCTCAGGAGAACGTGGAGGGAAAAGTCCAGCTGTCTGTCTTCAAGGGTCAGGTCTACATCCTGGGACGAGAGTCACCCAAGTCCCTGTACAACGAAGAGCTGGTCAGGTAAGCGGAGGAAAGACGAAAATGAGTGTGGCTGCAAAACAGAAGCAGCCGTGTGTCAGTGGATCAAAGCCGGCGCTTGTTCTATCTTGACAGCTGTGTGCGGCTGCTCTGGGCACAGTGCTGCTATTCCACATGTCCACCAGTCGGCCTGTGGTCAGGTCAGCTTGCCCAAGTTCTCTGATGACCTCCACATCGGCATACTAAACCGACCCTGCCTCACAAAGACATCAGAGGAGTGTCAGACTCTAGTTCCTGCAGGGCAGCCCCCGGCCCTAACCCCACCACCACACCCCCGTGGCCTCTTAGCTGTGGTAACAGTGGGTTTGTTCAGGAGGCTGACCCCTGATGCCCTCTGGGCAAGCTCAGCACTGACCAAAGTAAAAACCCCTCCATATGGCTCTCCATCTCCACTTAAGTCACACACACTCCAGTTGTACCCTAGAGTCAGAGAGCTAATGGTGTTTTCAGCCAGAGGAGAGAGGTGATTTCACTGGGCTTTTAAGAGGAAAGTAGCAGAGTGTCATGCTAGTTAGGCAGGTCAGAAAGAGGGAGACAAAAAATATGCCTCACACAGTCAGTCATTCAGTTCCGTAGACTGGTTTGGCAAGCGATAAAGCCAGATGAAAATCAATACAGAGAGTGTATTTTCTGTCCTCTGAGCCCATGAGAAGGAAAGCAATAAATACAGATTATACTGTACTGAGACGGGGCATTCATTCAGCTCTTTTAATCCATATCGCTTTGTTCCGGTTTTTGTGGGTAATATTCTGTTTTCAGTTCAACATTTTAGCTCTGTCCACCTCCAGATGAATTCCAACTCAGCACTCTTTCAGCCAGCAAATTACTAAAAAAAAACAAAAAACATTCACATGCTCTGATTTCAACACTTCATCTTGTAGAAACACATTTCTTAGCCGAGACGACACATCTGCGTGACAGTGTTGTGTTGCAGCATCACAAAGTCCTCGGGGCCTCTGACAGATGGGCTCAGCGGTTCCTCATAAAGGGGCTCGTAAGAACCATCTGAGAAAAAAAACTGTCACGAATCAGTCTCGAGTGCAGCGCACACAGTAGAGGTGGGTAAAACTATTGATTTATCAGTGCATTGCAATCTATTTTTTCACAATTCAGTATTGATTCAGAAAAGCCTCTGAATGCGTTGTACGGATAGAAGCCGCACTGTAAACAACTGTATACAACATGGAAGCAAGTAGCAGCAGCATTAAGACTTTAAGATCTGACGTTTGGGCTCACTTTGGATTCAATTGTCAACCTGGAACATAGTAACAGACAGGAGTCAAGTGTAAACTGGCAGTATTAAACTACTGCAATAATACTACGAACCTGAGCAACCACCTTAGCCGACACCATGCTGATGTTATGCAGCAACCTGTGGCTAAACCAAAACAGATGCAACTCGACATATCCTTTCTGTGCAAACTGCTGCCAAGCTCTGGAGTTTGTGGCTGTCTTCATATGCAAGGACCTACGACCGTACAGTGTCGTGGAAAACGCAGGTTGTAAGAAGATGCTACGCACACTTGAACCACAAACGCCACACCAACAAGCAAACATATGACTGAAATCGCTGTCCCGAAGGCGTACACAGAGGTAAAGACAGCGGTTTTGGAGTCGTTGAAGTTATAAGTTGAATATTATGAGTTATACCGTGGCTGGTTATTCTGAAATCATAAACAGGTACTCTCATGAATTATTGGTGCATTTCGACTTAATTGATATCGAAGTGTTGAAATCAATATGGAGTTGAATCGATATCGAATTGAATTGTTACCCAAAGAATCGAAATCGAATTGAATTGTGAGGTTCTTTACAATCCCCAGCCCTAGCACACAGTGACCCACAACTTTCCCCAACACATCCATGGACTGAGAGGACTGAGTTGTTTGTTTCTGGTGAGCGTTCTGTTTAACAGAGAGAAGCATTTGAGAAGCACACATGTTTGGTATTTGGGAAAAAAAAACTAAAAATGTAAATTGACTACCAAATTCTTCTTGTGTCAGTTCAGTAGGTACACAGCACGTAGTGATTTTGTCTTTTTGTTGACTTGTTATTCAAATGCAGTGAAAACCTGAACCTGATCAGTTTCTGAGCCCAGTGCCAACTTTATAATTTAGGAAAAATTAAGACCGCATCATACATTTTTTTTGTTTGTTTTTCTAATAGAAAATACAGATACTTTTCGCAAGCAATGAAGATATGTCTGGTTTTAAATTGACTTTTTTTTTTGGCTATTTCATGCCTTTATTTGACTGCAGCAGCACAGAGAGAAAGGAAATGTGGCGAAAGAGACTAGATGAACAGCTGATAGTTAAACCTTTTTTTTTTTTTTTTTTTTAAGAAAAATCAGTAAAAGCACTAATAAAATCAATGAAAACCTCATTGAATCATTTGTCCGTCCTTGTGCTCCCTGACAGCTTTCGACTGCCTGCTGTCATACAAAATGCATAAAATTCCCCCCAAAACAAAAATGTCGCTAAAATGCACATCAGCAGCAATATATCGGACATATATGCAGACATCAGCCTCGTTGATGTATCACTCCGGCTGTACCGTATCTAGAAGAATTCGGCTAATGCAGGTAGTAAGCTCTAATGGTATAAAAAGGATAATCCACTTTGTATAATTTTTTATTTTTGTTGAAAGGCTCATCATGGATTATCTTAACGTTGACATGTACGTGTACCTGACACTGATACACCTGGAGGCAGCAGTCTCGCACACACATATTTTTTCTTTTTGCCACCGCATGAAAACCCGGCACAATCGCACACACACACACACACACACACACACACACACAAACCAGATTAGGCATGAAACCCCCGCTGACATCCTGTTGGCTCTCGGCGGGCAACAGTAAACGGCGTCATTAACACAGTGGTAATACAGCCCGTCACCGCACCCATCTGAGACAGAAATGTCACCCTCCTCGCTCTCGGCTGGCTCCGCTCTCAATTAGACTGCAGGGTTTCTTAAAGGAATACACAATCACATGCTCACACACACACACACACACACACACACAGAAAAAGTGCCATATTCTTTGTGGCCACTCATTCATAATGGTGTTCAGGTGCCGGGCAGGGAGCCTTGTATTGAGAGTTGATGATTTAGTTGTCGGCCTTTCTTTTTATAGTGTTTATCCTATCATTTGTTGGCAATTTCCTCTTTTGCTAAGTGCTTTTGAAGAATGACTGCAAGCTGTACATTGGGAGTTGGGGGTGTCATAGGGAGGAGAGGACTCAGTAAGGGAGTGTATTAAACACTGCAGGTAGAAACTGCTGTAATTACACAGCACACGGGCACTCTTTGTGAGACTCTCGCGCACACTGAGACGAGATGTCTATGCAACAAGCAGCCTCGACGCGCACCGGCACAAGTTTTATATTTACTACTTTTTCCTTTTTCTTTTTTTTTTTTTCAGAAGTGGATAAACTAAAAGACAAACATCAGATTACAAAATCCTCCCGACACTTAGCTCACAGCTGATATGATGGGATTGTTTTTAAATGGGTTATGCGCATCTTTTGTGCGCTTGTGTACACGAGCGTGTTTTCATTCTCCCGTATTGATTCTCCGTCATTCAGGACAAGCAGTGCTAAAGAAGAGCATTCAGAGGAGGATCGATGAGAGCATTATTTCAAAAGAGCGGATTATCAATGATCCAGTTATCCCAGTAGTGGAAAACGCTCGGCGTCTCTCGTGTTTACTGCAATGATGCCAAACATTTCAATTGGTTGGTTACCAGAATATGCTGTAACTTTTCTCTTTGGTTTTGCTCTTGAGCTATGTTTTCCTTCAACCCCTAAATTTGAAGATTGGTCTCTGCCGGCTTATCGGCCTCTTATTTTTTTTTTTGACTTCTTTTCTCTCCAGCATGGACGTGCAGGGCGACTACGACCCATGTGATGCCTCTGGATTCATCAGAATTAACGCCGTCAGGTTAGCAACCCTTGAATCCTAATACTAATCGCTAGCAGCTTCACAAAATTCAATTTAAAGCAACTACTCCTCTGTTGTTTTTTCCTCTGCAGGTTAAGGGAGCACCACCGTTTGCAGGGTTTCGCCGGCACCAAGAACTAATTGTTCCAGCCATGTGAACCATCTTCCATTCTTCCCTCCTCGCTCCACCGTGTCCTGAAGAGTAATTGGTTTAAACTTCGTGCCTCCATTGTGTACCTTTTGCCTTATTGTCTAGTGTTGGTTGTATTAGCATCAGGGTATCTGAAACACTAGCACCAGACTCTTAGTGTTGAACCGTTTCGTAGGTGGTGAAGAGAGGAGGAAGAAAATATGACATCATGTCTGAATAAAGTCTACAGATAATTCTAAATTATACTGTGGATGAATACTTGATATCAATGTGCTGGTGGATGCTATGAATTGTTTTGGAAATAAAAAGGAGTGGATTGTTTTTGGTGTTTTTTTTGTTTTTTTCTTGCTTTTTGGATATTCATCAGCTTCCATGCAAACATTACTGTGATGTGCATCAGATGTAATGTGTTTAATAGTTCCTGTCTTTGGCAGACAGCCTATTTATTAATGCCTGCCTGTTTAACTCTTGGGACCGCTGCCCCGAGGACACTATCATATTTACAATATGTAGATGAAGCAGGAGCATTGCAGAGACTTGGCACAGGCCGAAGTGAAACCCAGTGGCTCACTGATGGCCACCGGAGCGGAAGTGATGAGGCCATTTCTGAGCTCGAATGGCACAAGTCAGATGGAAGGAAAACCAATTGGGCACATATGTATATTTCACTGCTCAGCATGGGGTCTCCATGCTCAGAGAACAGAGGAGGGAGGCAGAAGCATTTTAAAGACAAAGTATTGTTTCATGCTTTTCTAGCTTTTTAGGAGAAATTAGTGCACTGACTGTTTTAAAAAGTCACAAAAAAAAGGGGTGGACACAGTGTAGTTAGGGCTTAAATGCTAAGTAACATACAAGAAATCTGTTAGATTATCTTTCATGTGGAAGATATGGCAATTATAGCTAGGCTGCTGCAAAGATAAGTGATTGGGTATGCTGATCAGGATGTATGTCGCTATTGCAGCACCTTTTCTTAATCCACCATCAATGTGAGCAAATGCACATAAAACAATTGCAGAATGATTTCATATGTAATGGCAGACTGAACCCTGACATCTCATTCTGAAGTGGTGTCAAACTGAAGAGAAGATAGGGAGACAGACACCAGAAAGCACGGGACAAACACTAGCTGGATAACTCAACAACTAGACTGAATTGAGCACAACTTTAATATATTCAACAAAAAAATCCTAAATGGGACTTTCACACATTGAAAAAGTTATATGATGCTGAAAAAGGATGCATAAAGTCCTTCAGTCAGAGTTTGTTAGAAAAGCTCAAAAATAATGATCAGAACCAAAGCAGCATTAGCTTTTTGGTTCTGAAAACTGAAAATGATGGGCTCATTGTACCTTAACTTTCCAGCAATGTATTTCCCAAACTCGTTAGCAACTTACTGTGAAAGCACCACTTGACTCCGCACCACCATCTGTTCTACTGTGATGCATGCTCTGCTACATGTGCTGCAGCGCTGATGGACAAACTGCTATGACACCATTTTAAAATGATCCCAAGCCTCGTTTTCTGTATTATGTTCTATATCGGGCTACATTCACGCCATCTGTGACATAGCTGTCCATCATGAGCCTGACAGCATTGTAGGCTTGCAGGCATGCTCTTAATTTTCACAAAGAGGTGTGCTAATGGTACGGCACTCAACCAATCAGGAACCAAGCAAACAAGCACGACTAATGCTGTGCTTCATCTGGCTTCTAATCTTTTTTTTTGCTAAATTAGACTCCCAGTCCGACTTTCAGAATGATTTTCTAAAGTAACTTGCAGAAGAAAAAAAAAAGGAAATACGATTTCCGAAAATTTGAAACCATTCAACTCACAGTCGTCAATGTTGTGTGGGAAAAATACAGAACGTGAAGCAATTTTTCACTCACTTTTCCATTAACACCGCTCTATCATTAATGTCACATACTCAGAGATGAATGTTGGGATAATTTGAAGAAGTGGTTTCCTTCAACACGAAAAGTTTTGAAGACAGAGTTTCCATCCTCCTCAAGCCAGTAAACAAATGGAGGCTTTTCTTTCGCCTCCCTTTTAGAAATAACGAGGCCGTGCTGGAGATTTGTACATTTTCCTGTCTTACGCTCACACTATATGTCATTCTTAACAGCTGTTTTATCTGCCTGGCCGCGATCCCTGCCGCTGAAAGGTGTCAGTCCTGCATCCGAGCGCTGCGTACGCCGTGGGCCTCACGATAGAGTCCGCAGGCAAAGGAGACCCCCTGTCAGGTCTAATGGGCAATGAGAAATCCTCGGACCCTTTCAGTCCTGCGAGAGCCCCTCAGCCCCCGCTCAATTACACGGCAGGCGTCTCAGTCTTTGCCTGGTCAATTACCAGCCAGCCCCTGCATTTACTGTCGTGCACACACAGGTTGCAAGATAATCAGTGTCCAAAATTGCCCGGTTAGAATGAAGGGATGGATGGAGAGGTATTCAGATTAGTCAGTCAAGCTGAAGGGGAGACAGGAGGGATGGGGACAGCTATCAATCTCAATCTGGCTTCAGCGCTCGGAGGGGGAGGGCGGCGGTGACCTTTCGACTTAGTTTCTGGAAAGATATGATCCAGTGGAATTTTTAACTGATGTAATAGCTGTCATGTGTTTGTTTTAGGGGTAGTTTGATTTGCATGCGAGCTCCACTCTTAGCTTAGCTTTACTTAAGTGCACAAAGACTTCCTGGTTGTGTCCATTTAGCCGACTTACTCATCTACCTCGTCTCGTGTTCCATCCATCTTCCCCTCCCTCCCGCCTACCTGCCTACCTGCCCAGCCAGCCAGGTATGAAAACTGGCTGACACCTGACCAAGGGAATTAATCATCCTTGACCCTGCACCAATTATCCCTCATTACCCACTCTGCTTCGACCTCTCAGGGGAGAGCTGTGTAACAATAGCGCAACATGAAAGTCGGCGGTGACACAGGACCGAGCCCTAATGGACGCTCCTGTGCGACTCCTCAGGAGTCCAGGTCGACTAACCTTCAAGTCCTTGTCACTCTCCAACAGCGCGGCGTACAAAGGAGGCCATTGTTAGGGATCAGGGTGCGTGACCTCTTGAGATGAAGTGCAACAGAGCTGCTGGTGATGAGGCAGCCATGACAGAAATGAATCATATGGAAGATCTGGAATAAAAAAAGTATAAATATGGTTTTGGTACCACTTTATAGTCGCATTATTTGTAAATGGTCTCTAAGTTATTAACAATTTAAAGGTTGATTATGATCTGTTGCTAAGACAAACATTTGAGTGGCACAGTGTGTCTTGTGTGTCATTTAGTAATA